GGTGGCTGAGAACATCTGGAAAGACTGAGGTTGAAGACAGTGCCTGGCAACAGATTCTACCTGTATCTATAAATCCCTTCAAAATATGGACCGGATCCAAAAGAGCCCTTGATAGCCTATTACGCAGATGTGTGGGATTGATGTTACTAAGGGAAGTCTCTTGGCATTTATGCCTGGAAGCATATAACAGGAAGTACTGTTAATGGATCCTCCTGTCTTCATCAACAGAGATCATCTGATGGTCCTGATAACCAGAAATTCCTCTTTAGGGAAACATCTTTGGGCTTCAAGCTTTGGATCTGACAATGGCCAGGTCTCTGGAATTAATGCCTACTCCTGAGAGACGTAAGTTGTACAGACTGTCTGTCTCTCTAATGCATTTGTCCAGCTGCTGTGCCAACAATCTTCACGGATTTTCAGCTTGCTTGCAAACTCATTTAAATACATATGTGTATATATGCATACACATGCAGGCACATGCATTTATTCATATGTGAATACACACATTTTTTACTACAAGTATCTTCAAAGTCTGAGTTATGGCTTTGTATATTATTTTAGCTTTTTTTATTCTTTTACGGTATAAAACTTTGCATGTAATATTCCTTTAACATCTGATAAAAATATCAAACTTGTGAGCTGAGCCAAAGTACATTTTCTGAGAATTTGGTCAATGTATATCTAGGAAATAGAGACTTAGGAAAGTCTCCGTCTGGCTAAAATTCAAGCAAGAATGAAGTGCTTTCAAGTCCCTGCATTTTTGTCAGATGATTTTTTAAAAATATGTTTACCACCTTTTTCCCACATATTTTCTACAACCACATGTAAAAATAGGTATAAAATAGCTTTTAGATGCGATTTGATGGCTGAGAAGAAAGTAGTTGGAAATCAGAAATGGGAACATTTTGGTAAATAATCTCTCTTTTCAAGATTGCTTTCTATTTCGCAGTTGGGTTTTATGATTTTAAAAAGCATTTTAGAGTTTTAGAGGTTTGTTTATAAGCATCAATGAATAACCAGAAGATTTTTAATAAAAATCATTAAAATTTTATCATTTTAAATATCAATTAAATACCTAATTTAAATTTTTAATTGAATTCTGTCTTATACAAATGATTAGTTCACAAAATATCTATTGTTTTTATTAAGCAGTGATGAAAATTTGTAAGTATTATATGATGGTCATAAGTTTTAGTGACGTAACCTATTGCTTTTATAAAGTGAATCTTTTAATCATGCCTATTTTTATATTTAAAAAATGTGAAATGTGTGCTTGTCTTAAAAAGTAGTCATCTGGCCGAAACCGGTTTGGCTCAGTGGATAGAGCGTCGGCCTGCAGACTGAGAGGTCCTGGGTTCGATTCCGGTCAAGGGCATGTACCTGGGTTGCGGGCACATCCCCAGTAGGAGATGTGCAGGAGGCAGCTGATCGATGTTTCTCTCTCATCGATGTTTCTAACTCTCTATCTCTCTCCCTTCCTCTCTGTAAAAAATCAATAAAATATATTAAAAAAAAAAAAAAGTAGTCATCTGTAATGCTCCTCCCAAATGCTGACTCTTTTGAAGTCATTTTTGGGTGTGGTTTCTAAGCCACACCAGCGAAGGCCCAGCTGTTTTAGAGCTGTGTCTCAAATCCGCCCCCACCAGCATTTCACCCTGTGCCTATCACCCATCTCATTCTGCCAAGAGGTTTTGGCAGTTTCCAAAAACCAGTTAGATCCACAAGACATGGTTCACTCTTAGAAATATCCAAGAGACTATGACATTCCACTTTTTCGCTATTACCAATAATGCCATGAACATTTGTGTAGACGTTTTAGCATGGACATTCGTTTTTGCTTCTCTTGGGTACACATGTAGAAATGGAATTTCTGAATTATATGGCAATTTAATGTTTAACTTTCTGAGGAACTGCCCAACTGTTTCCAAAGGGGCAGCACCATTTTACATTCTCAACTCACAGGTGATTTTACAAAGAGCCTTATCCAGGTATAATGGACAGTGAACTGCACATATATAAAGTATACGATTAAAGCTTTGACCTATGTATACACCTGTGAAACTGCCACCGCAATCAAGATTAATGAACATATCCATCACCCCAAAACTTTCCTCAAGCCCCTCTGAGACTCATCTTTCCCACCCCACCAACACCCTGACCCCTACTATCCCCAAGCAATGACTTTTACTTTGTCTTTTTTGGTTTAGTTTGCTTTTCTAGAATTTTACACAAACGGAATCATACGGTATGTATCCTTTTTTGTATGGCATTTCCCCCACTGAGAGTCATTATTTTTAGATTTTTCCATATTGTTAAATATATCAATAATACATTATTTTTTTAAATGGGTGGTGTTGTGCCACAATTTGCTTCTCCATTCAACTGGGTTGTTTCCAGTTTGGGGATGTCACAAATGAAGATTCTATGAGCATTCATGTAGACGACTTTGTATAGGCCTTTGCTTTCATTTTTCTTGGGTAAATACCTAGACGTGGAATCTTTGGGTTATGTGGTAGGTATATGCGTGACTTCTGAAGAAACTTCCAAACTGCTTCCCAAAGTGGTCGTACCATTTTCTACTCCCACCGGCAGTGTGCTCTCGGTACGTTTCTAGGATATTGTTTACGTTTTGAGATTTCATGCTGGTGTAGGTCTGTTACTGTGCCCACTGAGGGAGCTCTTTCAACCTGGAGATCTGCTCCTCAATCTGGGCAATTTTCTTGAATTATATCTGTGGTTTCCTCTCCACCGTTTTCTCTGTAATGTCCTTCTGGAACTCCTATTACTTGGACTGAATCTCTATTTTTTTCTCTCTCCTATTTTACAGTTCTAATATTTAGAAGACTTTCTTGACTTTTTCTTCCAACCCCCTTTTTGATTATGTTTTATTTCCACTTTATTTTCATATTCCAAGCTATGCTTCTTGTTTTATGGATGGGATAGTTACTCTCTCTCTCTAAGATAATTATAGTTTTAAAAAAGATTTATTCTATTCTCTCTCGTCTTTCCCCTGAATTTTGACCTTAGGTTTGTCGGGATCTCTCATGTTGGAGGCATTCCTGAAATGCCTGTGATCCTTGCATACCTCTCATATTTGAGAGGGAGGCATCAAAAGGTCTCAAAGCTGGAGGTGTGTGAAAGGGGTCCGTGGACAGTGTATGTCTCTCTGAGTAGGTAGGGGTGCTAACTTGGGGGAACTCTGAATGTTACCTATTGTGTTTGGTTTTAATTATGTGATTGGAGGAGATGCTAAAATTTTCCAGGACAGCTGGCTGCTGGCCTTCTGGGCACAGGGAGGGGAAGAGGTTTCACCATTCCAGACGCAGACCCTCACTGCACTGTCTGCATAGCCCAGCTCAGCCAGTGGTCCCTAATCCACAACCTCTGTGCCTCCACATTTCCCACGATGGCTTCCTGGGGCAGGGGGAGGGCCTGTCTCCAGCTTTTGCCAGCCCTGTGAAGGTGAGCTGGCCTCTTCTCCCCAGCCCCCAGCCCCCAGCTGCCTGCAATGGGGCTGCAGCTCCTTCCTCTGATTAAGTCAGTCTGTGCTTTGCCGTCTGCTCTCAGCTTGGCTGAAACCTCTCTTCCATTATTGCCCCCTTTTCCATACCCCTTGTCCTGGTGGTTTTGTACCTCAGTATAAAAATAACCTTAATTTCAATGTCTCTTCTGTCACCTTAGTGTCATTGCAGGAGAGAGGGGATAAATATTCTCTTGATCATCAACACGTTTTTTGTTGAGTGTTTATGGTGTGACAGGCATGCTTCAAGGTGCTGGTTCAAGAGGGAAGGAGGTTCATTGCTGATCTGTGCATCAAATAAGATGGCGACAGAACTGACGCCCCAGGTGGGAGTCACTGTGACCCTGCAAGAGCAGTCCAGTGGGGGTGGGGCTGGAAGTCAGACCACAGGAAGTTTAGGAGAGTGGGAGGAGGGAAAGGGGAGACAGTGAGAGGGGACAACTCGTTCGAGGCACTTTGCTGAAAAGTGCTTGGTGAAATAGGGCAAGAGAAAAGTCTTTTTAAAAACTTTACTTATTGCCGAAACCGGTTTGGCTCAGTGGATAGAGCGTCAGCCTGCAGACTGAAAGGTCCCAGGTTCGATTCCGGTCAAGGGCATGTACCTGGGTTGCAGGCACATCCCCAGTAGGAGATGTGCAGGAGGCAGCTGATCGATGTTTCTCTCTCATTGATGTTTCTAACTCTCTATCTCTCTCCCTTCCTCTCTGTAAAAGTTCAATAAAATATATTAAAAAAAAAAAACAACTTTACTTATTGATTGATTTGAGAGAAAGGAAGGAAGCAAGCGCGAGAGAGAAACTTGTTGTTCCACTTATCTATACATTCATTGGTTGATTCTTATATGTGCTCTGACCAGGGATCAAACCCACAACCTTGGCATATCAGGATGATGCTCCAACCAACTAAACTACCAGACCAGGGCCAGAGCTTTGTTTTTGTTTGAGATTGGATACATACAAGTATGACCGCATGCTGACAGAATGAATCTGCCTTGCTTAGCAGGAATCCCAATATAATCTAAAAATACATAAATGTCTCCCTTTTTGGGTGTATCTTCACGATGCAGCATGGCACAGGACAGAGCACTATACCAGGAAGACCGCCTGCCAAACACCCAGGAAACCGACAGCAGGTCCTGGCCTGTCATAGCTAAAGCTTTCTGGGCCTCCGGTTCCTGACCTGCAGCATAACAGGCTGACCTCGCAAGATCCCTGCGCTGGGATGTGGCCTGAATGTGTGACTTGCAATGCAAGGGAGATCAAAGGTGGGAAAAGCAGTCCTCTTCTTGCCTTTTCCATGGGAAACTCAGAGTTTAAAGAAAGCAAAACTGATGTAGAAATGAGAGCTTAAATATTCATAGATTAAACCCAGCAGAGATTTTGATCAGTTTCCAACTACCGAATCCCCCGCTCCTGATTTAAAGGTATATACACTGAAGAAATGTTGCCAAACAGGAAAATATAATGAAAATTAAACTCACCTATTATCCCATCATCTAGAGATAGAAATACAGGCATACCTCCTCGGAGATACTGTGGACTGGGCTCCAGACCACTGCAATAAAGTGAGTATTGCAATAAAGTGAGTCATAATCTTTTTGCTGGTAAGAGGGTCTTGCCTTCAATTTGTAAAAAACACAACTTCTGTGAGGCACCATAAAGCAAAGCATAATACAATGTATGCCTGTATTAGTAACATTTGGCATAGTTTTCTACTGTATTAGTAGCATTTGGCATAGTTTTCGACTCTATTTTCTCCTCTCCATGAGGAAAATTTTCTCTATATTTGTATCCTGCTTTTTTCCGATGGAAGCTTCATCATAAGCATTTCCTACATCACCAAAACATTCTTTACAGTTTTATTGATTTTTTACAGAGAGGAAGGGAGAGAGATAGAGAGTTAGAAACATCGATCAGCTGCCTCCTGCACACTCCTACTGGGGATGTGCCCGAAACCCAGGTACATGCCCTTGACCAGAATTGAACCTGGAACCCTTCAGTCCGCAGGCCGACGCTCTATCCACTGAGCCAAACCGGTTTCGGCTTTACAGTTTTTACAGCTGTTTAATATTCCATCACAGGGATATACCACTGTAACTTCGTCATTCCAGTAATGGGCATTCATAGCTACCATAAATGCACTGATAGAAGAAGTGTTGTGATGTTCAACTTTGCACATAAATCTTTGCATCCATTATTCTCTCCTTGGCGTAAGTGACCATTTGTAGTCACTGGGTATGAACATTTTGAAAGCTCTTACATATGTTACCAAATGCACATCTTGACACACCAGCCTCTCTTGCCTTCCAGAGAAGTCCTAACAGTTTACTTGCCTCTCTTCATTCTGCGTGGCAATTGCATCACTATCACTAACCCTGCCAACTTTCTATAGTTTCTTTTAAAAAAAATGTCACTTTTTACTGTGTATAGGCTAAAGTTTATTATCTGTTGAAACAACATTGGGGGGGGGGGGTGTAATGCAGATGGGAGTAAATTTTTGTGTGCCGACATGTGCTGGGCACTGTGCCACAGGCTCTCTCTTTTATTGCTTGTGAACGCCACACCCTTAGAATGTAGGCGGCAACCTTTCCTTGTCCAATCCCATGAGGCTGTGGTAAGGGACACATAGCTGGTCTGCTATATGGCCAGGATGGGTACCCAGATCGCTTGACTCAAATACAATTTACTTACCTATTCTACTATACCTCACCTGCCTCAAATGGCCTCGAATATTCTTTATAAGGTACTCCAAAATATACTTTGAGACTCTGTAGTATGATTTGCACATTACCAATATTTTAAAGTTTCTGACTAGAATAAAAAATATTAAATTATAATCCATCAACAATTTTCTCTGAAATTCTGCTTTACCAAAAGACATCTTGGTCTCTTACTCCATGCTTGGTCTGAATGAAGGCTGTTCAACCAAAGGGGAGAACAGCAGGGGTAGAAGGGGCCGAAGTGCCATGTTCTCTTTCCCCTGACGGACTGCCAGTGCTGGTGAAGGGCTGAGAGGCTCTACAGAAAGGGGGTGATGCCGCTCGGATGGCAGGCGTGGTCAGCCACATGCAAACCACCGCGGAGCTGAATCATGTGCTGCGAGTGTGTTTTCTTCTGGCTCTAGGGACAGGGAGGCTCTGCACTTGTCTTCTATCCACTGCACCTGGAGGGCTGGCTCTTCGATCTTTACACACAAAACAAGGCTCTCCAGCAATTTCAGGACAGTCTTTTCGGTCCTGAAGCAGTTTAAAGCAGGGGTCTTTGTCTTTGTATTTACTGATACTCACAGGACAGCAAGAGTGATTTGAAGCTGTTCTGTTTTCACTTTATTTCAGAAAGTGCTGGCCACCTTCTGAGCTCAGGAGGCGTTCACAAGCCTGTCCTGGGCCGCACCAGGGGTGTGTGTGTGTGTCATTTCCTAGGTTGGGACGCTGCACAGATTCCTCTGTCATTGCTGTGAGGATGCGGGGCTGACCGTGTCTGGATCCAGGGGGCCCAGAGTTTAAAAGTCTGACTCGTACAACAGGTTGAAGTGTCACTGCTCGGTTCCATGACAACGGAGTGGAAGCTTCGTGGCCCCGTCCGCCAGCCACACACCCAGGGGACGTTTCTAAAATCCAGCTCTGGCTCCCGGCCGGTCCCATCCCGCTCCCGCCCACACTCACTCTTTCCTGGTCTCCGGCTGAGCTGCAGGCCGCGCCGGACGCGGCGAGAAAGCGCCAGGGAGATGAGGGAGCGGGGGAACCCCGCAGGGACCCCCGCCCCGGCCACGAAGCCCCAGCGACCCCGGAGCCCGCAGAAGCACGAGGCTCGGAGTGGCTCGCCGGCCCGTTCGGCCCCGCACGTCGCCAGCCCGGCCGCGCGCCGAGCTCGCTGGAACGTGGGCGTGGGCGTGGGCGTGGCGCGCGCGGCCGGGGGCGGGGCTTGCTGGGCCGGGGGCGGGGCCTGGGCGGGGCCGGGGCGGGGCCGGGGCTGGGGCTCGGGCTGGCCCAGACTCTGACCCTGGCCGGTGCTGGCGCTTTCCCCGGGGAGTATGAGCATGGATTCTGGCGCGTCCCCATCATTTATCCTTTTCCTTCCTAGAAGGAAACGGAGGGTGCCAGCCCCAAGTTTGACAAAATACTCCTCCTGCCGGCATTTCCGAAGCTTACACGGTACAGAATTAGCAACAGTGGCTATGATTTTTCTGGGTCATCTTATGCCAGGCTTGGCGCTTGGGGCTTGGGGCTAGGGGCTAGGAATACAAATAACCATAGTTATTACTAGCCTACTCTACAGATGCAGAAACTGAAGCTTGGGAAAATCGGGATTTAGCCAGGTCACACAGCTAGTGAGTGACAATCCACCGAAACCAGGTTTCCTCCTAAATATCTCCTGAGCGCACCCTGCCTCGGACCCCTTCATCTCCCCACTCAAGACTGCTCTAGCTTCCCAGCTGCCCTAGCCTCCAGGGGCCCGTCTCTGTCCTCCTTCCATCTGTTCTCATTATGTGAGGATGTACCACTGGAGATGGTGGGTGGTGGGCTTAGGGAGGGTTCCCTTGGTCATTGTTCGACATTTGGCATATATTATTCACTTTTTTGGGGTGCATTTAATGTTTAATAAAAATGTTTTAAAGGAAAAAGTTGAGCTTTTGAGCTAGATTCTAAGCCTTTTTCCTGACCACCGTGCAGTTGCAGCCCCAAACCCCTGTAACCTTCAGGACCAGAAAAGCCTGTCCCAGCAGCAGAGAGGGGACGTGCTTAGAAAGACTCGGAGGAATCTGGCTGTGAGGGGGGAAGGCTAGCGAGAGAGAGAGAGGAGACGCAACCCCACGGCCAGAGATGGGGTGAATTGGGACTGAGAGGGTGGGAGGAAAAATTAGCAGAAGGGGAAGCTCAGAATAGAAGTTATAAAAGAAAGTGCCAACTAGTGAAAATATTGCAAAAGGGTGGGTGAAGCGGGGGGGGGGGGCCATGACTGGGGATCGGTTTAGAAAAATAGCAATTAGCCCAGCTAAAAATAAAGTCCAATTTAGAGACAAAGCCAGACACACAAGGAGAAAAATAAGACTCGCCAGAAAGGCAATTCTTTGCAAAGCAAAGGCTCAAGAAAATGGGGCTAATGACATCCCTCCCCGGGATGTTTTGCAGAAGAAACGAGATAATAGATTAGAGGGGGGCGCACGGCCTGAGCAGATGACTTGGCGGCGGGAGAGGCAAAATTCAGAAGCGGAGCGCCGGCGAGCGCTGAGCGCAATGGCTCTACCGGAAGGTGTGCCACGTGTCCCCAAAGTTAGAGAAGTGTCCCCGGCCAGTCTCCGCGCGAAGGAGAGGCATCACTCTGCGGTGGAATCCATGGGGTTCCTACAGAATGGCCCCGAGTCCGCCCCCGGAGCCTCCAGGCCAAGGGCAGGAGGCGCCCACGTTTCAGCATCGGCGCAGTGCGCCCGGGGAGAGGGCGCCCGCCCGCGAAGGCGCGGCTCCTTCCTCTTGCGGGAAGCGCGGCTCGGACCCTGGCGATGCCCAACCGGCATTTGCGGCCGTGCCCGGCGCCCCCAAAGCCCCCAGCGGGGCACGCGCGGGAGCGCTAGGATCCAGGATCCCCGGGGGGAGGGGGGGCGGGGAAGCGAAGGTCCTGGACCGCACCCAGGTTCAGCAGAACCGCGAGGCCTCCGCATCCCAGTCTGTAACCCCGAGGGGACCCCGCTTGCCGCTCCGCGGGGATTCCTGCAGCACCCGCTCCAGAAAATGCAGTCACCCTCACACAGAAAAGAAAGAGGCGGGGACAACGGGCAAAAAGTGAGGCGTCGACAAATGGGATGCAGATTGCCGGGGCGCCCGCGGCGCCGCGCCGTGTCTGGAGGCGGCAGGGAGAGGGCGCCCCGGGATGGACGCCGGAGCTGGGAGCCGGGCGGGCGGGGCCCGGGCGGCATCTCCGCGAGTCCAGGAGGCGAAGGGGCCCGGGGCGCGCGAACCGCGGGGGCAGGGTCCTAACTCCCGGGGCGCGGGCTCCTTCTGGGCGAGCATCTCCATCCCCGGCGCGGGGCCGGTCCCGGCGTCGGGAGTCAGCCGCGTCCACCCGGGCCCCCCTGGCCCCCCTGGGCCCCCCTGGGCCGGACGGCGAGGCCCCCGCCGGGGTGGGCGGGCAGGGCACGGGGAGCGCGCCACGCGGCGTCTAGTGGGGCGGGCGGCTGGGCGGCGCGGAGCCGGCTCCTCCTCTCCTCGGCCGCCTCCTCCTCCTCTCCTCGGCCGCCTCCTCCTCCTCTCCTCCTCCTCCTCCTTCTCCTCCTCCTCCTCCTCCTCGCCTTCCTCTCGCTCAGCTGCCGCGCGGCGGGCCGCTCCTCCTTCCTCACCCGGGCGCCCGCGGAGATGTTTAACCGCGCGGTGAGCCGGCTGAGCAGGAAGCGACCGCCGTCAGGTAAGCTGCGCCCGGGGCCCGCGGGCGGGGGGTGGGGGCGCCCCCGGGGCCGTGGGGAGCCGCCGAGCATCCTCCCCTCCCGCCTGGACTGGGCGCGGCTGGGCGCTGCCGGCCCGACGGGAACCCCGGCCGCCCGCGCCTCTTCGCCCAGCGCGTCCCGCGCTCCTGCGGTTCCAGCCGCGGCGGGAGCGCAGAGCCCGGAGGCGCCGGGGAGGAAGTTCGGCGGCAGGAGGAACACCGCAGTCTTCTTGGTAGTGATGGGGAGGAGCGGAGAGGCCGAACACGCCGAACTTTGCGTTCCGTGTGGGCTCTGGCTTCCGAGAGCAGGATGTCGCGCGGGTCCCCGGGCGCCGGAGTTGCCTGTGTGCGCTGCGAGCGCTGGTGCGGAGGATGCCCGCAGGGCGCCCCGAGGCGGCGGACCTGACCGCGGGCATCCGACGGGGCACCCGGGCCTGGGCTGCCGGCGCCCCCAGCCCCGAACCTTGCGGTCAGACTGTGGGGCGCGAGGGAGCGTGACGATCAGGGTGGGTGGGTGGAGGAGGACCCCTCTGTCGTTCGCGCCAGGGAAGCTCTGACAATAGGTACCAAGGGTTCGTGTTGGCCGTCACTCTGGATCAGCCTGCGCTACAATTTGAGGCGACCCAATAGGACAAAAACAAAACAACACACACACAGTGAAGATGAAACCATGTCCTTGATTCCAACCTTTTTGGTTCGTAACAATAGTTGCGCCCCTCTGAGTGCTTCCTGTGGGCCCAGGCCTGCGTTCCCCCTGCTCTGTGAACTGTCCCTTCACCTTAGGACAGCGCTGTGCGATACCTATGGTCCCGGCCACTTCGCAGCCCAGGGGACTGAAGCAGGAGCTGTTAGGTAACTTAGTCGATGATGAAGAATCCAGGTTTGCCTGGCTCAGGAGTTCAGAGGCTTTTCTGCTGCCTCCCACCTCAAGAATGACTCCTGCAAGAAGGAGTCTGTGCATGGTCCCTACCCTCTTCCCACCTAATATCACTTTATGAGGGACCTTGTGGTTAGAGGGTGGCCTGGATGCAGACTGGCTGGGGCCTGAATCCTATCTCCACCACTTAGGAGCTGGGGAACCTCTCTATGTCTGTGCAGATAAGGATCTACAAAATGGAATAATCATAGCAACCCCCCCCCCTTTTTTTAAACAAACACCTTTTTTTTAAAAAAATTGATTTCAGAGAGGGAGAGGGAGAGAAAAACATCAATGATGAGAGCGGATCATTGATCAGCTGCCTCCTGCATGCCTCTAACTGGGGATCTAGCCCACAATCCAGGCATGGGCCTTGACCAGGAATCCAACCATGACCTCTTGGTTCATAGGTCGTTGCTCAACCACTGAGCAACCCCGGCCGGGAATTTCCCTTTTTTGAGCACTTAACTGGAGCTGATCTCCCCTTGGTCTGGTTATGCAGATCATTGCATTTAATATTTAGGACAACCCTACTAAAGTAGAACCTCACAGGGCTATTGCAAGGCGCTTATATGAGTGGTAGTGGTCATGGAAACATTGTCGTGTGGCCCGTGGGCCAAAGAAGTTCCTTGTGTGTGTTCATTTTAGCCATTCCCTCTTGCTGGCTGTTCACAGACCTGGGGAGCAGCAGTCAGAGCCTGCACTCTGGAGTTAAACTCCTGGTTCCCATCTGATTATCATTTAGTGACTTTGAGCAAGTTACTTGACCTCTGAGCCAACTGCTAAATTGTTGGGAAATTGGGGAGCTGGTTGCTAAACCATACCTAGCTTGAAATGGGCTATTGTTGGATATTTATATCATGGAAATGGGCAAATGCTAACAATCAAGTCTCTCCCCTTGCATGTGGGCAGGTCGCACCTCAGAAAGGTGGGGGGCAGTTTTAGGGACACCAGTGGGATGTACCACTTTCAGGACTACGCATTTGAAGCCTGATGAAATGTGGTTAGGTCGCTGGTAGAGAGATCAGTAGCTAAAAAATCATGATTTGGTATTGGATGCCTGGCATCCAAGGGCCTGATTTCCTTACACTTTTTATGTTTAAAGTGCCCCCCCCCTCCCCCATGGGAAAGGACAAATTAGGTCCTGCCAATTTGGTCTCATCCAGCAAAAGGAGGAGCCAGTGAGAAAGGGATGTTGTGGGCCCCGAGACAAAGGTACTTGAAGCTAGCCACGTGATCCACGGGACCCTGTATTGTGTGTGTGTGATTCTTTTTTAAAATTAAAAAAATATATATTTTTATTGATTTCAGAGAGAGAGAAGGGAGAGGGAGAGAGACATAGAAACATCAATGATGAGAAAGAATCATTGATCAGCTGCCTCCTGCACGCCCCGCACTGGGGATCAAGCCCGCAACCTGGGCATGTGCCCTGGACGGGAATCGAAGACACGGCCTTTAATCGAAGACACTGGAGGGCTTGGTATTCCCAGCCCCTAATGCCAAGGTTTCAAGTGGGATTCCCTTATTCTCCTTCCTGAGCTTCCTCAAAACGTTCAGCAACCACATGGGGGCCGAGGGGGAAGGAGCTCTCTCCAGACCCTTCCGTGCAGTCCTGGGGACCGCAGCCCTCCAGGTGCTTCTCATGTCCCTGAAAGTGTGAAGACCCCCTGAAGGATTCTGCCCACCCACCCCGTCCCCCCCGCAGCCACCTGCACTATTGATGGCAACTATGATGCTACTTAGTTGAAAAGCAAAGCCAAGGCCAAAGCCACAGCCCTGTGACCTGACCGAGTCCCGGGGGGAGGGGGTGGGGGTGGGGGGACCCGGCGGGGGAATCCCCATCTGCCAGCCAGGCCTCTCAGCCCTCCCCCGGTCCTGTTATGCATTATCCCATTAAACTTTTGGGCCCAGGTTCAGATTTATTGCTGGGCTTAAGTTTTTATTTAAAGAGGACAGTTGACATAGCAATTTTAATGTCTTTGTTTCAACAATCCAGCAGCAGAGCAGTCTTGGCGCCTGGGACACTCTGCCTGCAGCACGGCCCTGGTCTTGGGGTCCAGGGAGCGTGGAGCAGGGACACAGAGAGGCTGGGCTGGGCTCAGGGGCGTTGCTGATTCAGGCTTGGTCAGCCCACAGCCAGTGGAGTCCCGGTGCCAGCTCGGAGCACCACCCAGGGCGGCCTGTGGACTGGTGGGTGGAGGAGCTCATGGTGCTTTATTTACTTTCAGTGACTTGGCAGCTGAGCGGCGGTCTCCTTTCCTCACTGTTAGGGATTTTGGAAACCCAGACAGGTGCCCATTTCCTGGGTGAACTGAGTCACTTCCCTCCTGTGGTTGAGTAATCCCCAGTCCCCTTCCCCCCACTGGGCTCTGGGAACTTGCTGTTTAAATTATACTAAATTTACTCTCACCAGCTTCTTCTGCTTCCCCCAGATAGCTCTCCCCGGCAGCTGCCCCAGCGGTGGCTGTGGGGGCCCCGGCCGGGGACGGCAGCAGCTCCTCGATAAGGACGGTCAGGAGGCGTCCACTGGGCTGAAACAGCCCCTTGCAGACTTCCGGAGACAAATTGCCCTTCCAAGCGAGTTCCCATCTCTCGAGGGCCCTGCGTGTGGGTCAGCTTTTCTCTCTCCTCTGCGGGGTGCTCAGGGACCCCTATTCTGGCCTGCCCAGTTCCATTTCCCCCCTCCCAGCTTTGCCCCTGGGTGGCTAGACATTCCCATCTCTGTGCCTTTGCTCCCGAGGGTGTCCCCTGTCTGGCAAACCTGCTCTTCCAGGCCTCCTGCCGCCCCCCACCCCTCTCTCCCTGAAACACAGCCTGTCCATTGCAACTTTCCCTGGGCAGCTGCAGAGGCCCCTGGGGCAGGGACTTGTCCGGAGCTGCCCATTTCCGAAGGGACAGAGCAGGGAACTCAGATCTGTGGCCCCAGTCCAGAGCTCCCTCACACGGTATCTATTTAGTCATCTCATGAAAATATATTTAACCCGGCCGGCATGGCTCAGTGGTTGAGCGACGACCTATGAACCAGGAGGTCATACTTCGATTCCTGGTCAGGGCACATGCCTGGGTTGTGGGCTCAATCCCCAGGGCGGGGCATGCAGGAGGCAGCCGATCCATGATTCTCTCTCATCATTGATGTTTCTATGTCTCTCTCCCTCTCCCTTCCTCTCTGAAATCAATAAATATATTAAAAAATAGATATGTATTTAGAGAAAGAAGATGGAGATGACTTCTCTTTCCTTTCCTGCCTCCCTCCCTTCTTTCTTTTCTTTCTTTTCCCCCCCACTTTCTTCCTTTCTCCAGATGGGACGTTAAAAGCAACGCCATCATCAACCATCTTTTTCATTCCACAAATGCCAGGATGCCTTAACTCCCCAGATAGTAGGAAAGATATAGCTCATGTAGAGAACTATGTGCTACACAAGAATCTTCTACTAGGGAAAGGCCCTGGGTGGAGAAGAAGAGGGCCTGCCCTGCTGTCCTCCCCTCTGTAGCCCTGGAATTTTGCACCATGTACATAAATGTTATCTTCTATTAAAAAAAGGAAAAACCCCACCAAAATCCCAGACTGTCTTTCCTCTGTCCACACAGCTTACTTGTTTCTTTTCTTTTCTTTTCTTTTCTTTTCTTTTCTTTTCTTTTCTTTTCTTTTTTTCTTTTCTTTTGATTCTTACCTGAGGATATTCTTTCCATTGATTTTTAGAGAGAGGGGGAGGGAGGGGAGGGGAGGGGAGGAGAGAGAAACATCGATATGAGAGAGACATATCGATTGGTTGCCTCCTGCACGACCCCTGACCAGGGCCGGGGATTGAACCTGCAAACCAAGGCATGTACCCTTGATCCGGAATCGAATTCATGATCCATCATTAGACCACTGAGCAAAACCAGCCAGGGCTCACTTGTTCTTCTTCTTCTCATTTCTTCATGGACCAGTGAGGAAAACTTCATGCCTGCCTGTGGCACTGCCGGCAGATGGCCCTTGGGGAACTCCTGGTCTCAACTTCTCAATTAATCTTAAGTTCTGTGAGAAAAGGGGCCCTGCCTTTCATTTTTTACATCTTTCACAGCCCCTTCCTTTCCAGGCTCTCCAGCCAGACAGCCTCAGGTGGAATCCTAACTCGTCTGCTTCCTTGCCTGCTCCTTTGGAGCAAGTTATTTCACTTCTTTGTGCCTCAGTTTCCTCATCTGTAAAATGGACCAGCAGTGCACCCGACCTCCAAGGGTTGTGGGGAAGTTGAGATGGGATCTAGTAAGTGCTCAGGAAATGCCAGCTAATTTTACAACTGCCATTCTCCCCTCTGCTTGCCCCCAAATGGCAGAAAGACACAGCACTGACTCTCAACATATGCACAGTCTACCCGGCTGATACTGGAGGGAAAGTCACTTACGTGCCTCGAGGTCGGGGGCGAGGGAGAGTGACAGAGCGGGGGAGCGAGGGCCCCTTATCAATAAATATCGGTTCCGGTGGAAGCATGGGGGCTTCCGGAGAGTGAAAGCCATAATGACAGGGTCTTCGCGTTCACCCCGAGACGGGGCTCCTGGGGCAGGTTTCTTTTCCCTGGCCTTTGCCTGGAGAGTGCGGAGTCCAGGGAGGCTACAAATAACAGCCCGGCCGTTGTACTTCCTTCCCTCTGGTGGAAACTAACAACCAGCGGCCATCTGTTGTTCAGTCCACTCAAAAGAGGATGTTGAGGTTTGTTTTTCCTTCGGACCCAAGGGTGCTGGGGAGCCCTGCAGCCCCGGCCTGTCTCACGCGAAGCGCCTCTGAGAAGGCAGCGGGTTTGGGGCTGCCCGGACCTCCCCCGGTGGACCCCGGAGCATGGAACGTAAGGAACGGCCCCCCCTCTGCGGCAGGTGCCCTGGGTTCGCCCGCCGCCCGGGCGCTGGCAGGGCGGAGAGGGGCCGGGGCCGGGGCCGGGCCGCGTGGGGTGCCGGCAGGTGCACAGGTGGCCTTTGGAGGCACAGCCTGAGCACGAGGCTTTCTCGGTGGCCTCGGGCCGCCTGTGAAACTGCCGATGCCGCTTCTGAGCCGAGCCAACCCTCCGCGCCTGCCCGCGCCGCCCTTTGACGCTTGCTCCTATTATGATTACTGCACACTTTTTTATTGTTATTCTTTTCGGCTAATTGCAGTTCACGCTAACCTCCCCGCCCAGGGAACTGCGTGCCTGATGGGTAATTATTCTCAGAAGCTAGAGACTGGAGCTGACCAATGCTTAAGTGATATTTAGAAGACAGAGTGTTTCCATGACCCAGTTTCTCCAGAGCTTGCAGTAGATCACGGGTCCTAATGAACCCATTCGCTGCTTCGGAGTCGGGGTGACTTTTTAAAAAAATGTAGCATGTTTGATGTGGTGGAGGTGATCTGGGGTTTCAATACATTTTGTGGGGTGTGTACTTTCCCTTGAGTATCTTAAAGGAGTATGGTGTATGCGCACGTGTGTGTGTGTGTGTGTGTGGTGTGTGTATGTGTGTGTGTGTGTGGTGTGTGTATGTGTGTGTGTGTGTATGTGTGTGTGTGTGTGTGTGTGTGTGTGTGTGTGGCACCAAACCGCTTTAGAATTTAGGGTTAACCCTCCTGTCTTTTCCTGGGCTTGAATGTTTAGTTTATTTTCTTTAATGTGCTGTGGGTTTTAGGGGTAATTGGGACAGGCCCTTTGAGGTTGTAAGTTGACTCTGCTGTTGAAGGCGCTGGATTTTGAGATTTTTTCCCCTAAAATATTATGTGACTTGGGGAAGTGGCCCATGCAGGATCACGGCCCAGGCCTTCCTGCAGACTAGCAGCAGGAATCCCTACTGTGAGCATTCGGCTGTGATGAGCGGTCCAGATGCCTTTGGAATACGGATTTCCAGGGCAGTGATGTGTGGAGAGGTCTCTGGTAGAGGTGACGTCACGGCAGCTGTCAATAATGCATGGCACCATATGCTGCAAGCACCCAGCCTCGGCCATCTGCACCCGGAGCCGCGCCCTCTTTGACACAATGGCTTTTACTGAAGCCAGAAACCACACAGAGCAGCATACATGTAGATGGAAAGTGTACGTACATGTGTTTGCATGTTAGATGGTTCTGGCACAGTCTCAGGGGAGTTTTTGTCTGCGCGGGATTGGGCTCTTACCCAGTTTTCTCAGGCCTCTCCCCGCAGCGTAATTGTGATCACCACTTGAGGGCCGTCAAGTTCTGGCCCCTGTGAGTGTGACGATCAGCAGACATCAAGGATAAAAATGACAGCACAGCCTGGTGCCAGGGGCAGGCACCCTGGAGCAGGACTGTCTGGGCTTGACCGTGGTTCCGTTTCCCAGCTGGGCCACCTTGTCCGTCCGTTTCCTCACCTGGGAGGCGGGGATATCAACCACATCAGAGAGTCACCGTGAGGACAGACCGACTTCAGCCATGTGAAAAGCTCAGAGCATGGCGAACAGCTTGTTTATTATTAGCTAATGACAGGTTAATCTGAAAATAAAGTTACTGAAAAATAAGTATTGTGTCTGCAAAAATTGAAGGTCCAAAATGCTTTCAAGAGCCCACGAGGTACAGAGACCATTCTTTTTTCATTACAAAAATGTCCTACAAGTGAACTAAAGAACAACAAAAAGTAAACAGAGCTGGACAAACTTAAAACAGATGTTGTCACCAACAGCTCCTTCTTAGCTTGAGGTTCTTAAGAAAACAGGTGTAGCTTCTCTCCCACCGGTGCATTCCAAGCCCACCTTGTGGAATCCATCTCCAATGGACACTTTTATCAAGAAGGAGAGAGGAATCTCAGGCCTTTGTGCTCCAAGTGCCAGGAGTTGGGAAGCCGGGTTTTGCTTTATCCTGAAGTCCAGAGAGTAAACCAGCTGGCTACGGGGAAAGGTTATTTCTATCTCCTGTGCATTATTGGGTTGACTGTAACATTCAGAGTGGACTGGGATGGCTTAGGAAGCCTTTAGTTGCCTACACCAGAAAGTAGCAGACGTCTGCTGAGCAGGGGACAGACCCCGAGTAACCGAAATGCTGAGCTAGGGGGCGGTCTCTAGGGCAGGTCAAATGGAGTGGACCTCTGCTCAGCCTCATCGGAGGTCAGGGATAACGGCTTGGAAAAGAGAGACACTGTTCAGGAAATGGAGTTTGCAAATGCTGATCTGTCCAGATCGATCGATCAATCGATCTATATTAATACCAATCAAGAAGGATTATAGGAAAGAAGGCATAACCCAGAGCCTGAATCAAATCGAAAGACAATCAGGTTCCCTCCAGCTGTTCCTTAGCTGGGTCACCTCTCCTAGGACATGTACCCTGTGCACCTGTATTTCCCAGGCTCTGCAGAATAAGGTGACTAGATTCCATGAGTGGGTTCTGAATTATAAAACCATTTATTCAAATGAAAGCTGTTGCGGAAACCTAACATGCAAAAGGGCTAGAATATGGACCAGAGGGCAAGGGGGCGGTAGCAGCTGTCCCGTGGTGCGGACAGCTGCCTCACCTCTCGTCACCCACAGCACTCTTCTAGCTGAATGGGACTCCACTGAGTGTGTGCATTTGCATGAGAGCACGTCAGTGAAAACCCAGATGGTGGTTTGGTTTATGATGGAAAAGAATGTCAAGAGTTTTGGAATCCTTTGAGGTCAAGGTTGAAAATGTAGGGCCCAACCGGTGGTTCTGCAACAGGGAGAGACACCGCAGCCGCCCGAGGTTGTTCCTGGAGCCGCCAGCTTGTGTCTCTGCATTTATTTACTCGAGGGGCTCTGCTGGGGAAACGGAGTCAGCTGACCAGCTGCGTCCTCCGGGTCGGGAGCAGAGGAGTAAATTAGTGAGGTGCCTGGCAGAACGAACGCTGTTGCAGAAATGTCTGATCATAACGACCGTTTAATTTGATTTACCCCTCGTTGGGAAGAAGCTCAGGGTTCCACGGCTTGCCACGCCAGCTAGCGTTTGCAGAGAGCGCAGGAAACTAATGTAACAGCCGCGAACTGAAGATTCACTTGAGAGAGGCGTCAGATCCATTTGCGATGTGCTCGCGTGAGTTCGCTTCTCCGTTAGAGGCATGGATTTGTCCCAAATCGTCCCCGTCCCGCACTCCATCGCCGGTGCGTATCGAAACACAGCCTTCCGCGGGGGTCCTGGCTTCTGCCTAATTTAACCCAAGTCAGCCCGAGACTGTCTAAAATCCAGGTAGTTTTCCCAGCTGCTGGGAGATGGAGTCTCGGCTGCTTGAGAAAGTAAGGCGTGTGTTGACCCCCAGTAGATCATGAGAGGTCACGGAAGCTGAATGACTACTAAGTCCAATGTATTCTGATACAACTTTCCTCCCCAAACACCCTAGCTATTCACAGGTCAACATGTATAAGGCTCTTTCATTTATCCTTTTCAAGTCATTTGCTTGGCTGAGTTGTTATTTATTTTTCAATTATAGTTCACATTCAACATTATTCTGTATGAGCTTCAGGTGTACAGCAGAGTGGTTAGACAATCCTATACTTTACAAAGTGTTCCCCCCACTTTGGCCGATTTCTTCATTAAAAGCTTATTTCCTCCTAGATTCAAACTTTTCTTTATAGAAACATGTCTCTACTTTGAAAGGAAAAAAAAAAAAAGGCAACGGAGAAAAAAGTATTAGCTACAAAAATAGTTCACTCGATACATTATTTTAAGGAAGGGGAGAGAGGAACTGACATTTGTTGGGAGTCCACTGTGAGCTTCCAGGTGCCCCTTCCTCTTTTAATCCTTTGGGGAACCGGAGCTACAGGGGGGTTGTCTGTATTCCATGGTCGCACAGTTTGAATTGGCCAAACTGGGTGTGAAACCTGGGCTCATCCCAGTACATTCCACGGTTTCCCTCGACCCCAGGAGGGGGCCAGATCCTGTAGACGGAGACGTGTTTGTGGTGTCACTTCCTCTTTCAGGCAAGTAGCTACAGTATGTGAGTTGGAGATCCCCTGTGCCCCACCCCTCAGTCAGGGGGCTTTTGAGGAGTCTGGAGTAAGAGAGGGCAGCAGATGGGCGGGTACAAAGAGTCATTCAATCCTTCGGTCCGTGCACGAGGTCAACAGCGTGCTGCCGAGCCATGCTGGAGCCTGGGGAAAAAGGAAAAATCGGTAATAACGACCCTGCCTTTATTTTCAATGTTGGTATTTTGCTCATTATGGAATGATGAGCATTCATTTTTATTTTTTCAAAATATTGCATGAAAAAGTCATTTATCTTGATGCTCGAGTGTTTTGGCAGCTCCTTTAAACTTTGCACCTGTGGCAGGGCCTCCTTTGCCCCACCCTAGTCCCTGGAACATTTATTTGTGTGCCAGGCAATGAGCTACATGCTGGAGACACAAGACAGAGATACCCAGGAGCTTTCAGATGAGAAAGAGTTTGTCAAGCCAATAGAAACAGCTCAACGTGATCATTATAAGACAGAAAGTGTAATGGGGAAGGAGTCTCTATTGAGCCCAGGTGCCTGGGAGGGTGAGACTTGCGGGCTGCCTGCATTTGGCCGGTGGACACATGGGTGGGGGAAGGATGTAAGGGGAATGTCAGGAAATGCCAAGTCTCTTCATCGCTCTGAGCCTCAGTTTTCCTCATCTGTACAATGGAGGGAATGGTAGCACCTCCTTCATGAGGTTGTTTATTGTCAGGGCTAGAGCGAGTTCACCGGGGTAAGTGCCTAGAATAGATTCTGGCACCTAACTTAGAATCTGTTAGGCACAGTGCTGATGATATGCAGATATTTCTAAATGATAGTATCCATGGGTCACATACACAGTCTATCTACACTTTGCTTTGCAGACATCCACGACAGTGATGGGAGCTCCAGCAGCAGCCATCAGAACCCCAAGAGCACAGCCAAGTGGGCGGCCTCTCTGGAGAATCTGCTCGAAGACCCGGAAGGCGTGAAGAGATTTCGGGTTTGCCTTTTTCCATTGAGGTTTAGATGGGTGTGTGGGGAAGCACAGGCCAGTTTTTAACGCTGTCCCAACCCAAGAATAAGAACTTCTCACCTGTCGATGCCAACATGGAAAGTCAGGCGTAGTCATGGGCCAGTAGCGAGGGCCATGCACAGGGCGTTTCTGGGTTTCATATAGCTGCTGAATGGGAGGGGGTGGGACAATGGGGAAGACATACCATGTTCATTGACAGGATCTACAAAGAATGTCCAGCTCTGTGATACCTGGGAGGGGTGGTCTGCATCTTTCTGATGAGAGGGGTTGTTCTTTTGTGTGTTGGGATTATTAACAGGGTGAGACAGGCAAGACAACAGCTGGCAAAGTGAAGTTGAACTTCAAGAGGAAGCTGATGGATGGGGAAGCATCAGTGCTGCCTAGAAATAACTTTTTTGGCCACCAGTGACCCCAGGTGTCAGAAGAAGATTGTGTGAATTTGAAGAGTACCCTGTATCCGCCCGAGTTCCACCGAAGTCTGTCCTTAAGTCTGGGGTCTTAGGAGGGGGTGGCAGGCAGGGCTATTGATATTCCTGGACACCAGGCCACTGTGAACTTGGTCTGGATCTCATGGAGGACACTTTTCTGTGCCACGAATCCCCAATATCTGCCAAAAGAGAAATATATACACCTCCAACTTAAAATAGTTTTCACCATGACCTTTTGGGACATGCTTAATATATTTCCTTTTGTTTTGTTTAAAAAATGGGCCTGATTTTAGAGGAATGTACTTTGTTTAAACATTGTCTGGAAGGAACCAATATATCTTCCACTTTAATTTACTTTCTGGTAATTTATTGTTAGCTTAGAATTGTGAGGAGATGCTTGCTTCATTTTTACTCTTCCTTACAATGTCAAAGCCATTACGTTCAAATGAAGATGAAATTCTAGCTTTAACATTAAACAAAAGCTTTGTTTTTCAGGGTGGACTTTTCATGCTCATGTTTTGGATTTTACCAAATCAACCCTTGAAGGGAAATGTTTGTTTGTTTTTAAAGTAGAATACTGTTTTATGCATTCTTTTTTTCTCTGTATCCATAGGAATTTTTAAAAAAGGAATTCAGTGAAGAAAATGTTTTATTTTGGTTAGCATGTGAAGATTTTAAGAAAACACAAGATAAGAAGCAGGTATTTTTCCCACTTTGTAATTATATTCTCCGTAATGTTTTTTCTGTCCTTATAAACTTACAGGTGCCTTTCCCAATATATTGTGAAATTGCCTAAGGACATCTGATCCCTATTGGATTAGGGGGAAGATTTAAGCTTCAGCTTAGGTATCCTGTGTGACTCAAATATTCAGAAATTTAAAAAGAGGGTGCCAATCCTTGTTTAAATGGAGCTGTGCAAATGGACAAATACTTAAAGTAAAAATAACGATTTGTCACTTAGAGTTCATCACCGCATATGATTTTTTTCTTCGTGAATAAGTTATGTGGCTGCTCCCCTGTGTTTGACATGTCGGCGTTTTGTACAGACGTAGTAAAATGACAAGCAGATGTGGCGATGAAAGCAGCGTGTCTCGGATGGATTGTCAATTATTCACTACATCTTTATGAAACATCCTGTAGCTGGCAGGCATCCCACATAAAACGTTTCTGACTGTTCAGGGTAGATATGCGCTCTTTGCAGGCAGTAGCCTTTCATTCCAATGTCAGCCAGTATTTTTACCATTGAAGGTGGGGTATAAGGGGAGGTGGAGGAGATTATGGGGAAGGAGGTCTGTGGATTGGAGGTGTTTATGAGGCCTGTGACTGTCTATTTCTTTTTCTTTTTTTGTGTGTGTATTTCTAAGAGGCTACCAGCTAAATGCTTACAGGGTCCAGGAAGTAATGTACATGAGGGAGGCTTTTGGTGTGAGGCTGTAGGGAGTGGTGGGGCCTGGGACCATCAGGGGGCAGCTCCCTGGCTCCAAGAGCTGCAGCTGGCTGCTGAGCTGACTTTGGCAGTGAATGCTTTGGGATCTGTGGCTCCTGGCATTCCCCTGCTTCAGGTTCTGCCCACTTGGGTTTTCACTTGCCCACCCTTGCTCCCAGAAACCCAGGGGCCTTTCTTCCTAAGGCATTTCTCTCGTCTTCAGCCCAGTGCTGCCTGTTTCTCCAGAGAAGCTAAACATTTGGAATTTGATGTGAACCATCCAATATTGTAGAATTAAAAAAAAAAAAAGTAAAGCCTTGCCTGCCAAACAAAACACATCCATGGGCAGATGTGGCTTGTGGGCTGCCAGTTATTGCACATCTGTCTCCAAAAGCTGGAATCCAGCAGTCATCACGTGTTTGCAGGCAACAGCTTGGGAAATGGCCATTGGTTTATTCAGAGGCTCTTCTGGACTCAGACACACTTTCCCCAAGATGGGGCGGGTGGCCTTCCTCTCCGTAGGGGCAAGGATGGATTCTGAGGTAGCGTCCCTGGAGCTTGAATTTCCTGAGTCGGCCTAGAAAGCCGTCTGGGACATGGCCATTGGCATGTACTTTTGTCGGCTTCTTCTATTCCCTGGATGGCGCTGCCTGAGCCTCCTGGGTGGTGAATGGCCTCAGAGAGCAGGAGAGGGGGCCTGCCTCGGAAAGCTAGGGTGCTGGCTGCAGCCTTTCAGGCAGGAGTGCCCCTGGCGCCCAGGCACAACCTCCCATAAATGCTGGATTGTGCCGTTGATTTGTCCAGCATCACCTGAAACCCTAGCTCAGAGTCAAGCAGAGAAACAGATGCCCACCCCTCTGCCTGCTCTTTCTGTGTTGGAGGTGAGAGGGGCCTAGAGGTTGGCCAGCCCACCCATCACTGGGCAAACCAAGAAGTTGAGGTTCCTTTTTTGGCCAAGCTGACACTTGGACCAGCGCCCCGAGGCCACCCCATCGTTTTCCCTGCAGACCATGCTGGTGTGTCCTTCAGTTCAGCTGAGCTCAGCGATCTTTGTGGAGTGCCTGCTCAGGGCCAGGCCTTGAGAAAAGCACGAGAGACACACAGGGACAAGACAGATGAGCTTCACTGGGGAACAGGCGCTGGGAAGGGAAGCCGCTTGTTAAGCCTTTGCAAGTGAGCCTGGAAAGGGAAGTGCAGGTTCTGGGAGCACAGGCCTCGGCAGTCTGGGAAGCCCCCAGGGGAAGTGACTTTAAGCCAACATGACAGGGAAGTGGAGTTTGGGGCTGGGGTCGTGTTCCTGGAGGAGAAGGCAGCATGTGGGGAGGAATTCCTGGAGAGGAGAGCGAAGGTAGACCAGATGGCTGAGGGTCATGCTCTGCTGTGCTCTTTGCCTGGCTCTGCTGTCCTGGAGGCTGGCAGGTGGGTGGGGCCACACCTGGAGAACCTGGGCACCAAGGTGAACACTGGAAAGCCATGTGGTAGGTTGCATTAGCCCATCCACATCCTACAGACAGAGCTTCCAGAATCCGGCAGCCCCTCTCGGCACCCCCTGAACCGCGCCCCCAGACTATGAGTCCTTGAAGGTTTGTGTCCTTCCGCCTGGAATGTGCCTGGTGATTGCTCCAGTGCAGTGAATGCTGCCTCGCTGTCGGCTGCCTGAGGAGGCAGCGGACCTGGAAGGGGAAGCATCCAGGCGTCCACACCTGTCTGCATGAGCCTCAGGGCAACTCCCCTCCTCCCAGGGGCTGTGGTTGGAAGGTGACGCAGCGGCTTGCCCACGGCCGCCAGTGTGGTGCGGACAGAGCTGCGGACAGCCAGGATGCAGACCGGTCTCCCACTCCAGGGCCTGGGAAGTCGATAGTGTGTCTGGCTGCAGGGGAAGTAAAACCTCGAGTAAGTTCGAAGTCACTAATTTAGGAAAGCGGAGGAGGACCTCAGCACGGGGAGAAGTCGGCCCAACTGAGTTTCACAATCAGACTTATGGCGTCTGGAGTTTGGTGAGGGTTTGTCTCTACAGTGAGCTGAGGCGGTTGTGGGATCACGGGAACCTCACTTTTGCCTCCATTACTTTGAAGGGGACCCATACTGGTTGGTTTGCCGTTCTTTTACTAGGTTCATCCAGCCGGTTCTCTCCTTAGCACTTCCTGATTTATCTGGTCTCTTGTATAATTTCTTTATTCCTCTTCTGATCGTTGGCTTTCCCCTGTGTCATGCAGGCTCCTAAGGTTTGAGATCTTTGTCTGTCTGCTCCCCGAGTGTGTCCACGTGCCTGGGCCAGTGCCAAGCACACGGGACTTCCAGCTCTTTCCACTCAGGTCAGGCGGCACCTGAGGACCCCCTGTGGCTGGGGAACTAGCCTCCCTCTCTCTCACTCTGTGTTGCTGTTGCAGCCTTGGACTTGGGAGTTGAACCTGAGTCCATCCTGCTGGGGCTCGGTGCTCAGAGGCTCCGAACAGTGGGAGCTGTGTCTTCACTGTCCTCTGGGCCTGTGATTCGCCCCGACAGGCAGGAAGCGCCCCTTGGTTTGGGAGGATCTTGATCTCTGCATTTCTGGTGGGGATGCTGGGGCTGTAGGAACTTGTGAGGGTGATGCCCCCTACCCTACCCTCCGTGGGGTTCCTGGGGTGGTAGTACCCTCTAGGTGTTCAGCAAGCAGCAGGCAAAACAGCTCCCTCCCTTTGCACTGTCTTTGTGGTTTAACATTTTCTGTCAAGTGCCTCTTCCCTGTGAATTAGCCTGTGAGCTATAGCTATCTTCTACAACAAAGCCGCATTTACATTTTACAAAACCTCGGAAAGAAACTCCAGCAAGGTGCTCATTCTTTGGCTACTCCTGAATTCATTCATTCATTCATTCATTCATTCATTCATTCACTCATTCCTCAGCACATGTCTTCATTGCTGTTAGGAATCAGTATTTTATATGGAAGCTAATTTGTTTTCTTTTGGGCCAGTTTACTCTGCCGAGGATGGAAATGGATCGGGCAGCCTGTACAGATCTGTGAAAACCGAACTGAGAGTGGGCGTGGCAACGCGGTGGGGTGGGACGAGGTTTCTAATCATCAGAGCTCTGAAAGCGGCTTGCACTGGCATTGAAATAGGAAGAAGTCTTTATTTATTTTTATGTATTTTAAGATGTCTTTTTTAACAATGAGGTTGTTCATTCCCCTTTGCCTTCTTCTTCACCGTTTTCCTGGACACAGTTCACTTGGTCCTTGACACTTCCACTGTCTTGCAAGTTTTGGCCTTCTCTCTTGGTTGGCCCAGGCCTTGACATCTTGAGAACAATTATCCACTTCAGGCAGATGAGCACTCCAGGGTCAGCCGCCATCAATCCCTCGCACAGTTTTAGTATGTGGGCTGCCGAAGCGAGCGTGGATACTATCTTTTAGAGTTGACAGAGTTATGGGGGGAGTCTGTCGTATTTATTATTGTTATTGTGTCTTACTTAACACTAAAACTCGATCCAGGATTTTAGAGTGCTTGGTATTCTTATTGAAAGTAATGGTAAAGGTTTTCCTAAAAGGCTGAAACACCACCTTCTTTATTTAAGAAATAAAAGGATTTAAAAATTCCAAATGTGACACGTGCACTCCTCAGATGAAATCCATTCATTCACAGGCGGATGCCGTGGGCAGGGCCGTTCCCTTCGCCGCTCAGCACCCTCCAGAGCTCCCTCTGCGTCTTTCCAACCTTCGTCTTTCAACGTGGACTTGGCCGGGTCCAGGCCGAACTGCTCGGAGCTCAGAGGCTATCCACGTGGTCTCCATGGAGGCCTGCCCAGCGCCTCCATCCCTTCCTTCCTTCCTTCCCTGCTCACGTATCGTTTTCAGATGTTGTCTGCCACTTCCTCTTCCTATCACCGAGGTTTCACTTACTTACATCCTGTCTGCTGCATTTTCATTACTAAAATGTGTATTGTTTGTCGTCTGCCGCTGAGCCAAAGAGAACGCTCCAGTTACATTTTTCTTCTTGCACCATTTTTTCGCTTTTCTTCTTTCACAGTCCTTTAAAGTGCTTCGCGATATGATGTTGCACGGGCTCAGGCCTCTTAGCTCATGGCTGCGGCCCGGGTTCACCTGGGGACAGTCCTCCGGGGCCCTCTGACCTCAGCTCCCTGGGTCTTCCTGGGCCACCACTGGCCATGCCCTTTGCCCTCTCCTGCTTCCTGGCCCCAGGCCCTCTGTCCTGAGTCACTCGCTCACTGCCTTGGAGCACGGCGGGCAATCCCCTCCTGAGAAAGGGGGCACGGAAGGTAGACGTTTAAAGATCTTG